GTGAAGGAGAGGGAGGAATTTGGGTAGACTTCCGGGTTTCCAGCTTAGAAAAAATGAGTGGATCGATCAGAGTGCAAGACTGTACGCAGGAAAAGGTTAGAGTGAAGGGTCCCCTACTGGAGTATAACTTGGGTAAAGGCAGGACTCAGACCAAGAATTCAGTAAAAACACTTGTTAAATGAATATTAAAAAAAAAAAAAATCACAGGGGCGCCTAGGTGGCTCAGTGGTTTAAGCCTCTGCCTTCAGCTCAGGTTGTGATCTCAGAGTCCTGGAATCGAGCCCCATATCGGGCTCTCTGCTCAGCGGGGAGCCTGCTTCCTCCCCTCTCTGCCTGCTGTTCTGCCTACTTGTGATCTCTCTCTCTCTGTGTCAAGTAAATAAACTCTTTAAAAAAAATCACAGACTAAAATATATGGTTCAGGGAATGTGTCCTGGATGGTCTAGGAGGGGAGAAGCCAATGATTAACTGCTGTATTAGTGGGAGATAGAAATTGGAAGTCAGGAGGCGGAGCCCCCTGAGAGGCTGCCATATTTGCCGTCACAGGTTTCAGGAGCAGCTACAAGGGATCCCACTGCTCAGCCTCAGCAAGATGCATCACAGGTGCTGGGGGATTTGGCTGGCATGAAGACATCCTCTTCGGTCTGCTCCCTTCGCTAATTTTTACGAGGAGAAGGAGAAGGTGGGGTAATGAGGCTGAAGAAAGGGGAGGGGTGATGGATTGGTGTCAGAGATGGATATGAAATGTGTTTGTACCAAGAGCATATTCTGAAAGCACCTACTTGCCAGGACTGCTACCCATAATAGACCCATCATCCACATCTAAATAGAGAAGAACATTCGTGTCCACTTACCTAAAATGTCAATAATTTGGAACAAAGCCACCAGGGAATGGAAATTTTGCCTCATTATCTTATTTATGCCTGGGCAAAGAAATGCGAGCTAGTAAAGGACAACAGCAACAACATACTTCTAATGGACATCAGGGGGTCAGAGTTCTGACACTGACTTTGTGAGTGTGGGCAAGTGACACACTCTTTCCGCATCTCTGTTTTCTCATCTATCCAAGAGCAGTAATAATACTGACCTTGTGTGCTTCGTGGAGTTAGTAGTCCTGGATGAGAGAGTGGATATGAAGGGCTTCAGAAAATTGGAAGTACATGCTGATCTCAGAAGATATTGATATGTGCAAAGAACGATGAACTCAGAAATATTTTGGCTTTGGTAAATCCGAATGGCAGAAAAATCATTAGGCACGTGCATCACGGGGCAGAAGTCAATCTCTCCTGCCCCTCTGTGGACAGAACTAGCTACCCCAAAGGGGACCCTGGCTCCTTCGGTTTTTTGTCTCCAGAAACTCACTGGGTGAAGGTTGGATGGGATAAACGTGAGAAGGCTGGGCCAGCAGGTGTAAGCTTACCATGCCAGTAAACCTACCCTGTGTCATGAAAGAGCCAGGGAATTTGTTCAGAAATTCAAAGTGCTCCCTTCATATGCAGATTGGTTATTTCGGCTCTGTTTCATTCGTTTGCATGTTCACTGGTTCACCCATCCATTCATTTAATTCACTCAGCCATCTATGTCCAGCATTCAAACCTCCCGCATCCTTCAAAGCTCACTCAAATTCTGCCTACTTCAGGAAGCCTTCTTGTCCTTCCCGCCACTGCAGCTTCACCTACGCTTCTCATTTCTTGCGCCACTCTCTGCTTTGCAGTACTTTTTTTTTTTTTTAAGATTTTATTTGTATGTCCGACAGACAGAAATCACAAGTAGGCAGAGAGGCAGAGGGGGAAGCAGGCTCCCCGCTGAGCAGAGAGCCTGACCACGCGGGGCTCGATCCCAGGACCCTGGGACCATGACCTGAGCTGAAGGCAGAGGCTTTAACCCATTGAGCCACCCAGGCACCGCTACTTTGTCAGTATTGGTTCCAGTTCCTTTCTGGACATAGAACCCGTGTCCTCGACATCTTTGTGTCCCGACAGCACTAGCACACTGACCTCTAAGCAGCAGGTACTCAGGAAATAAGAACTGAATGAATGAACAAATTGGGAGGATGGGGGGTGTGAAGTACCCTGGCTCAGGCACTACTTTATTTTCTGCGTTGAAACAGAGACAGTAGCAAGTCCAGTTCTAGTTTCGGCCATAGAGGCCAGCAGTGGGGAGGTGAAGACAGGTATTGGGGGCAACTGTTGGGGTGACCATGTTGCCTGAAGATAGCACTAGAAGTTCCTTAGGAATAGCTACTCAGTTGGCTTACCTTTAATGAGCACCTACTATGTACAAGACACTGTGCTGCAGGTTAGGAGAACAGAGATGACTGTATTGTCACTTCGAAAAAAAAAATTGCATCTAGCTGGGTAGACAACTCACATATGTCAATAGTTAAAACAAAATTCTTTTAAAAGTTCAAATGGCATTATATATAAAGCAGTAAATGCAAGGTGGCAGGCTAGTGGTCCAGACAGTAAGTACTGTGCGTTTAGTGATTCTCCATCTTAGATTTTTCTAGGGCTGTCTCTTTTCCGAGCTGGCTGCCGTGCAGCTTCTGGAGGACCTGAGCGCTTACTCGATCACAGAGCCAGATTTTGGTAACACAAAATGTGTTTACTGTTATACAGCTTTTGAGGAGAGAAGGGATCATAGGGAGCTGGAGTGAGGATGGGAGTAGAAGGGGCCATTTAGGAAAGCTTTATAGAAAAATTCACCCTGAATTTTCTGAGGAACTGGTAGATGTGGAGGAATGGAGAAGGTGTTTTAAGCAGAGAGAAGAGTTATGAACAAGGCCCCAGGAGTTGGAATGGATTGGGGACAGTTCATTCACACATCATGCAACAAATGTTTATTGAACCTTTGCTAAGTGCCCAAGAGTGTTTTTCTGCTGGACACATAGCGGTGAATGAAATAAGCAATCTTTCTTCAAGATGCTGGGGGTAGGGGGTGGTGGGTGGGGAGTGGGGCACCTGGGTGGCTCAGTCGGTTAAGCATCTACCTTCGGCTCAGGTCATGATCACAGGGTCTTGGCATCGAGTCCAGCATTGGACTCCTTGCTCAGTGGGGAGCGTGCTTCTCCCTCTGCTCGTGCCCTCTCTCTGACAAATAAATAAGCAAAATCTTAAAAAAAGATGCTGGGGGGGGCAGTTAATTTATTTGTATGTTTGTTAACGTTAGCAATGTTTGTTAACACACAAATAAATTGAGGAAAGCGCTATGGAGGAGAAGAACAGGAATCTATAAAAGATAATGAGACAATACCTCAGCTCCCCAGAGGAAGGTGGCATGTAAATGGAGACCTGAAATTGGGGAGTGAGGGAAGGAAGGAGGGTGCCAAGCATGGGAGGAGGGGCCCTGCGATGAGGGTTTCAAATTGGGGAAAGAGGATGTTGCGTTTGAGAGGCTGAAAGACAGTTGGTGTTACTGGAGTGTAGATAGTGGACATATTTGACTGGGCCTACTGTGTGCAGGCGGGAAGCCAGACCATGAAAGGCCAGGCTGGGGTTTGGATATGGTAAAACATCTCCTGAGAGCAGGTTATTTTTGGGTGTGTTTCTGTGCTCCCACCTGAGGGTTCCCCGGAGAGAGAGAGAAGTAGGGAGGGAGAGCAAGTGTCTCTCCAAACATCCCATAACTCCAGTCCCTGTTTGCAGCCAGGCTAAGGGGCAGTCATGGTGAATGAGCTACAGGAAAACAAGAGGGACAAGGTGGGTGCCATGTGACGTCTGCCAAGGGGGGACACCGCAGGGTCTCGGAGGACAGCCATAGAGCTGAGGCACTGTGGCCCTGATGCAGAGGGTCCTGGGTGGGGTTCAGGCTTGGGAAGCTCCTGGGAGTGCTCCCAGGGCAAGCTAGGGAAGGAGCCAGCTCCTTTGCCAGAGGGACTGTCACCTCCAAGGTGGCCTGGGAGGAGGTGCTCTTTAGGGAGCTAAATCCAGAATGTCCCTGCTTGCTCTGCCCCTGGCTTGCTGTGTGAGCTTTTGCATCTGTAAAATGACTGTGGACTAGACAAACTCAAGCCCCAATGTTTAGAATTGATCTAAAAAGTACCTGTGGATTTGGAATGCTCCAGAAATAAGAGAAACATAGAAGCGGCACTGGAGGCAGGGGAGTCTCAGGTTTCTGGTATCTTAGCTGCCTTTGGGCGGTGGGATATTTGGAAAGAATTATGGGATTTCTGGAGAGGAGAGAGGCTGGGGCCTGAATGAAATCTTCCTCACGGAAGAAAATCCCTAGGCCTGCTGTGGAGTACTGTGTTACCACAGCCACTAGATGGCAGAGGAGTTCAGCTCCGGAGGAATGGGAATGGTGGGTGGGGTGCGAGGGCCTGAGCAAGCGTTGGTCTGTCTTTGATGTTCCTTTGCAAATCAGATGCTATTTCTATGTGTGTCACATCTGGGTATCTGCGCACGTAGGTGTGAGTATGTGTGTGCCTGTGAGGATCTCCGGAGCATCTGTGGGTAGAAAAAAAGGAATAGAACTGGGAATCAAAAGTCCTGAGCGCTAGTATCGAGTCTTTCATTTACTCCCCACCGGACCTTGGATACACCACCTAGCCTCGTTCACTTTCCGTTTCCTTTTCCGTAGAAGGCGATCACAGTCTTGCTTATCTGGGGCTGGGGCAATGATAAAGCAGATGATGCTCTGGGGACCGTGAAGTGTACCCATGCACAGGGGGTCTGCGTGTGGGGGTGAGTGTGTTTCTGTGAGAGTGTATCTTCAGGGAAGGACAGACCCTATGTTTCGTGCACATTGTCTGCTCCCTGTTGAGACCTTGGGGCATTATTCAGTACATAGAATTATCCAGTCATGGAAGAGCGAGGGGAGGCTGGGAAAGAAAGCAGTGTTAACGCTCCTGATGGAGGTGAAGGGAGGTGGAGGCCAGGATAAGGCTCCTGTGCTTTGTTCTGCCCTCCAAGGGAGGACGGGCAGGGATAGTGAGGCCCTCGCACGTGGCTCCTTCCCTGGCTTGGGCAGGGCCCACTGAGGCCTTCTTCTCCTCTGCTCAGCTCCCAGCAGTGCTCCCAGCAGTGCTGACCCGAGAGAGGAGCTTGGCCTCTCTGCACAACAGTACCATCCGCAGCCCCATCTTCCAGCTCATGCTCCACAGCCTGGACCCTCTGGGAGAAGGTAAGTAAGGCCTCCCCAGACCTGCGCGGTCTCTTGTCCATTCCCTCCCTCCTGCAGCTGGACAAGAACAGGGACCTGCAAAACTAGGAGGCAGTGGGTAGGATGAGGGCAGAGTGGGGAATCGAGAGCAGAGGAAAGATGGGGGATGAAGTCAGCAGTCTGGGAGACAGGGCAGAGAGAAGGCACAGGACTCAACAGGAGCTAAGGTCCTTAGGTATCCGCATCCCATGACTTCCCGGTCTCCGTGTCCCTTCCTGTAAAAGAGTTTACCTGTAGTTGGTGAGGCCAAGCGTGCCATGTGCCCTGCTCCAGTCTATGTGGGGTTGCCTTCAGTGACTTCCCTACAAGGCCTACCACCCACAAGTCGGCTCCAGTATCCCACAGAATCTCCAGCCAGGCAGCTTGTCCCAGGCTGACTAGTCAGGGCCACTCCTGGGGGTACCTCCTGTAGGGCCCCACAGCCCGGAACCTCTGAGTGGTACCCCTCTGTGCTCCGTGTTGAGCTCTGGAGTCCCATGAAAACTGCTAACACCTCTCCAGCCAGGAATGCTATAGGAGATGCCAAGACCACTTCTGGGGGTGGTAGGGGTCCAAAGGAAGGTGGGGCCCGGAGTCCAACTTGACAAGTGATGGGAGTAGCTGAGCTTCTCACCATCCATCTTACTAAGACCTGCCTTCTGGCCCCATTCCCCAGAGGGCTGAACTATGACCCTGGAGACTGACTCATGAGCATCAGGAAGCCTCCTGACTTACATTTCTGATTCAGGGACAAATGGTGGGGGGAGTGAGGGGGCGGTGTGCTCAGAATGTTCTCAGGCCCTGAAGTATCCCCTGCAGATACAGTATTGGGTTGTTGGGTATTTAAAAGGGTATTGGACTGGGAGAAGCAGAGACAATGACGAGATGATCAAACCTTCCTTTGAAAATCCTCAGGGTGAGCCTCAGCAGACATTTCGAGAGCCCCCCCCCACCCCCCAGCCACACACACCAGTATCAGTACCCCGGGAGCTTTGAGAGTGGAGTTTGCAGCACCCAGCAGCCTGTGGGTGATCAGTGCTGGAGGCACATCTGGCTTGGGGCTCTGAAGGAAGCCCTATCTTGGGGCTATACTTGGCCACTCCTTGTGGAATCACCGACTCTAGCAATATCCTGAAGATAAAAATCTGCTGAATGGGACCGCAGGCCCCCCTGCCTGGGCCACTCCCATGACCAGCAGCTGACCTACTTGTACTAACAAGATTATGTGATGGCCCGGCCAGGCCGAGGTCAGAGGAGATTGACACTAAGTAGGAGATGATCTGGCTGCGCTGAGAGCAGAGAAGCCATTTGAGGAAACGAGCTCTGGGCGAGCCAGGGACAGTCAGCCCCAGCAAGACAAACAGGCTTGGTACATTGGAAAGGGCCTCACGGCAGGTGATGGCTGATACAATGTGGGATGAAGTCCTGCTCTGATTCTACACCCCGAGACCTCATCCAGGAGGCGTTGGGACCTTGCAGAGTGGTGATGAAGGCTTTTGTTCCCAAGACTTTCCAGATACATGTTTGTGTTTCCATCTGCTGGTTCCAAATGGCTGTCCAGATGTTTCCACCCTTTCCAGGTGTTCCAGCTCTTTCCACAGAGCTGTTATGTAGTCTGAACTCTCCCCTACCGTGGGAAAGGGCTTCTATTCTCCGGGATCCCATGCCTTTTATGGTGATTTCACTTGGATGTGTGTGTGTGTGCATGAGAGAGAGAGGGAGAGGGGACCAGAAAGAGGCCCTGCAGCTGACCTGCCTTCCTCAGGGCCGTGGGAGATGAGAGGTTAGGGTGTGCGAGGAGGGGTCAGAAGGAAACACGAGGACTTGGTTTTCCTTGCCAGCCCCTCTAGCCCACAGTCAGCAGATGTTCTCAGTGCCAGCACTGCAACCCAAGGAGCTCTCCTGGGATAACTGCAACTCCGTGCTGCTCGGCAGAAGACGGCAGTGCTCCATCTGTGCCACGGAGACACTGAAGCTGTGTGGATGAGGGAGGCCATAGTATGCCCACTTCCTGACATCTCGGCTCTGAGGGGGGAGCTGCAGGGCCCGCCCACCGGGACTCTTGGAAGGGCCTCGTGTGCCCGAGGGGTGGCCCCGCAGGATGGAGCCTCTTGCCAAACATGGCTACAGCCGAACCAACTCAGAGCGTGTAGGAGACAGGCGGGAACGAGGAAGTTCCAGACCTGTTTATATTTCTTGCCCATCCTGGATGCAGACAGCGTTTGGTCCCTGCAGCTTTCTGTACTGCACCTCCTCCATCTGTCTGTGTCATGAACAAGAGGATCTCCAGGGTCCCTTCTAACTCAAACCCTCTGGAATCTGGGTCCCTGCAGAGTTGCATCCTGGGAAGGACGGATGCTCTCAACTACTCACTTGGTCCTTGTTGTAGCTCATGCTTATACGGGGCTTTCTGGATGCCAGGTCCTGTTTTAAGCACATTCATGGATCAATTTCTGTATTTCTTTAACAACCCTGTGAGATTTTACAGAGGAAGAGTCTGAGGTACAGAGAGGGTAAGGAATCAGTTGACTAGGTCCTCGGCTGGCAAGTGGCGGCACCAGGATTCAAACCCAGGCTCTGTGGCTCCAGAACTCCAGCTAACACAGCAAAAATTTAATCGTACTAGTTAATAATATTTTTATTTATTTTGTCTCATGGACCTTCCCATCAGAGCTGTGTGTCTCATGATGTTGACTTCTTAGAGGGGGACATGGAGGTTTGGCAAGGGTGTGCAGGCTTCCCGAGGTGGCCCAGTGCTCGCGGGGGAAGCCAGCCTGGACTCCAGAACAGACTCCACGGCACTACGCTGCCTGATCACATGTGCCATTGTGCTCACCCTCCCGGGCCACACAGCCGTGAGGAGGATCTCGTGAGCCCCTGTGCCTCAGTCTCCGTGTCTCCCACCTTGAACCACGCGGGTAAAGTGCTTTGCATGTTGCCTGCGACACTGTCACATTGAAGGAGATTGCCCTCCTCGTTTTTCTTCGATGTCAGAGCAGCACTGTTGTGCACGGAGTGCTCTGTGGGCTGCTGGCCAAGCGTGTATGCAGGGATGTGGAAGGAGGCCCTGCCTGGGCTCCAGGTACCTGGGGTCAGAAATCACATGGCAGGGAACTTGGCGGTCAGCTATTTCCCCTTTCTGACCAGAAAAGGAAGTCTCATGAACACGGTCACCAGTAGTGACCAGTACAGTATAGCTTCTGGTAGATTCGTGGAAAGTGAGCTGTTAAGGACCAAAGAGATAATCTTGTTCAAGGATGGCAAAAATATCTCTCTGCCATTTTTCGTCTACTCCCTGCTCATTGCACACATCACTGACGAGTCACGGTCACCTCCTCCCCACCCTGGATCAGAGTCCTCCTCAATCTCGTGCTCTAACAGCCAGCACTTGAACTCATGATGGAAATAAATCCTGTTTGTTGCCTCTGAGTCCAACCATGTCATTTTACCAGAAAAGAGATAGGGTTAGAGAGAAGAAGTGACTTGCCTAAGGTTACAGCCAGTTAGTAATGATGCAGGGGATTTAGGGTTAAAGTCTGGGAATTGGGTGGCATGAGTGAGCCTAGTAAGACCAGCATCCAGACCCCAACTCCCAGGCCAGCCTCTTCCCATCCGCTTCAGCTGCTCTGGCTGCTCCACTCATCAGCCTAACTGAAGGGTCCCAGATAAGATGTGTTCCCTTTCTCATTTGCAGCCTGCCACTCCAAGGACAAGGAGGAGGAGAGCTTGAGTAAGCAGGCCAAAGACAAGCCTCATGCTAAAGCACAGAACAAACCAGAAGGTGAGAGGATGGCCAGACCACTAGGTTTCCTCCTGCCACCTTCCTCCCTCCCGGTGGCCCAGGGCTGAGACGTGCCTCTTGACCTCTGGGAGCCAGTCAGCTGGAGCGATGATCTAGTGCTGCATGCTAGCCTCCTCCTTCTGGGGTCTTCCCTTTCTGCAAGGATTGCTGTCCTGAGGGAGGCCCTGGACAGCTCTGTGCAAACTTTCCTCTGATGCGCCAGGCGAGGCTGGGTGTGTGTGTGTGTGTGTGTGTGTGAGATTCTTTTTCACTAAATCTTGTCCCAGAGGAGACTCTATTGGGCTCCATTTCTTCTTCCTGTCACTTCTACACAAGGACAGTGCTATTAGGGATTGGTCCAAGACTAGCAACCCCAGGAGGGAAGGACACCAGGGGTCCGATGATACAGAAGAGCAGCATCCCTGTGGCAGCGGGGGTAGAGAGAGTACGAGAGCTCTTGGCCTGTGGGCGCTGCACCGCACACCAGGCCTGCCTAATGCACGCAGCAACCCTTGGAGGGAGGGAGAGCAGCAGCCATTCTCCCCATTCTATAGACAAGGAAACCCCAGCTGAGAGGTCGAGTGACTTACCTAAAGCTGCAGAGCCAAGAAGTGAGGGCCTCTTCCTAAACCTGGCTCTCCAGGTTTTCTGAGTCTCTGTTCCCGGCAATACTATTCCAAGGCTTCTAAGCTGCTGTCTTTGAAGTCACCAGGACCCTTTCCATGTAGGGGGTAAGGGGAAGGGTTAGACCTTGAGGGCTGGGGCTTTGCTGTCTCTCTCTGTTGCCCAAGCTGTTCCCAGGATCTTTGGCCACACTGGTCAGGATTAGATGCTTGTGAATACAGGGGGAGCAAGGATGGCCACTCCCAGCTGTCCTCTTATCCGCAGCTATCCCTGTGGATGGGCCAATAACAGTTCATATCACATCATGTTGCTTTTCCTATGGGCAAGAAATTCCCCAGACTTTCTGAAATGCCAAGGTAGATAAGTCCAGTAGCCCAGAGCCCCTACACTAGCCTCTGACAGCCGCCCTTGGAACCTGGCACACTTTTCTGACCTATTCCATGTTTATCTTTTAAAGAGGAGGAGCCAGCCCAGCTTCCTGAGGCCACGGTCACACCAGCCCCTGCTCCAGAAGTCAAGGGAGATCAGGAGGAGGATCCCGGTGGTCAGGTAGGCACCAGCCTCTTCCTTGGTGGTGGAGTTTAAGAGGCCCAAGGAAGGACTTGCTGGCCCCAAATCCTTCCTTCCTGCAGGTCTGAAATGGAAAGGTTCATTCCTCTGAGGTAAGCCTGCTGTTTCTGTGAATATCATGTACCTCATGGGGCCAGTTACTTCACATTAACACCTCAGTATCAGTGAGATGCCATATATGAGAATGTGTTGCCAACTGTCACACGCCATAAGAACATAAGGGTGACTCTCAGGGTGTCTGTCAGAAACTAGGGGGCAGTAAGACATATGGTGGGGAGGGTTGCTGGATGCCTTTGGAACCCCCTGAGGTTTATCCACAGGGCTTCCAGAGTCCTGCCGCCGCTGTCTTTACGGCCACGCAGCCTCTTCTTTTGCCAGGCTCCAGCCAACTGGACTCCTTATCTCCATGCTTCTTCTACCTCCGGGCCTTGGTTTCCTCCCCTTCAGGATACCTTTTCCCCTCCACCTTCCTGTCTCTCTCACCCACCTCTCCAGGCCACTGTATAAGCCTCCATGGCCATCAAGCTTCCCTGACCCCCTCCACCCCCCGCCAGATGAATGAACGCCTATTGTACTTGGTCCCTGTCTCAGGGCTCCTATCACGGCCTTCCCCATACTCTGTTTAGGAGTCTTAGTTCTTCTGCTAGGTGGTGAGGTTCCTGAGGGCAGGATGCACAGTCTGAGCTGTCTGTCTCTCCCACAGAGAGGCAACGCCTGGTAGGCACAGCTATGCTCAGTTAGGGTTGAGTTATGACAGTAAATAAGCATTTAGTTGACAAGTTCCATCCCTGTTTGTTTTTTTCTGTTTAACACCCAGAAACAGTCAATTGTATCATCCTTAAGCCAGCACCTTTGCATTTAGTGTCTAAGACATCTTGATGGCATCATGAATGCCCTGAGTAGACCCATTACGGCCAGCTCAAGTGAAAGGGATTAAGAAAATTAACAAGTCAGGAAATGCCAGATGCTGGCAAGGATGCGGAGAAAGGGGAGCCCTCCTACACTGTTGGTGGGAATGCCAGCTGGTGCAACCACTCTGGAAAACAGCATGGAGGTTCCTCAAAAAGTTGAAAATAGAGCTACCCTATGACCCAGCAATGGCACTACAGGGTATTTACCCTAAAGATACAAATGTAGTGATCCGAAGGGGCACGTGCACCCAAATGTTTAGAGCAGCAATGTTCACCATAGCCAAACTATGGAAAGAACCTAGATGTCCATCAACAGATGAATGGATAAAGAAGATGTGGTATTTATACACAATGGAATACTATGCAGCCATCAAAAGAAATGATATCCTGCCATTTGCGACGACATGGGTATTATGCTGAGTGAAGTAAGTCAATCAGAGAAAGACAATTATCATATGATCTCCCTGATATGAGGAATTTGAGAGGCAGGGCAGGGAGTTTGGGGGGTAGGAAAAGAACAAATGAAATAAGATGGGATCGGGAGGGAGATAAACGATAAGAGACTCCTAATCTCACAAGACAAACTGAGGGTTGCCGGGGGGGGGGGGGGTAGGGAGAGAGAGGTGGGGTTATGGACATTGGGGAAGGTATGTGCTATGGGGAGGGCTGTGAAGTGTGTAAACCTGGCTATTCACAGACCTGTACCCCTGGGGCTTATTATACATTATATGTTAATTTAAATTTTTAAAAAATTATATATATATATATTTTTTTTTTAAAGAAAGGGATTAAGAAGCTACAGAGGTGTCTCTTGGAATCCCAGGGTAAGATCAGTCTCACAAAGAACTGTACCAAATCCTGAGCGGAAATCTGTGACCCTAGTGGCTTCTTGCTCTCTGTCTTGCTCTCCTTCAGGTCCCCTTCTCTGTGTGCAGGCTTTATTACTCAGCTTCGCCTGGCAGCCTGGCTTCATTTGCTTTCTTATGGGAACACAGAACCCTAATCCCCCATGCAGGGCCTCCAGTCCACAGGGGGATCAACCAATGACTGACTTCCAGTATCAGAAGATACTGGATTCTTCAAACCAAGTCCCCGGTCAGGGATCCAGTCTGTGTCCAATCAGCTGTGGCAGGGAGTGGTGGGGTGCTTTGACTCCAACACAGAAAAAAAAAAACCAGCCATTGGCTCAGAGGGTGTTAGGCGTGATAGTTCTCAGAGAAAAGGGTGCAGGCTGGGCAGATACTCACATACCTATGGATTTAAATGACTCGTCATCTCCTCCAGGAAACCTTTTCTCCCGGTAGAGGTGCGGGAGGGAGGGCAGAGTGAGAGGCAGAGTGAGAGGCAGAGGGCAGAGTGAGACTAACATCTCATTGTTCATTTCCAATTCACAGCCCAGGCCCCATGAATATTAATATTTGACCACTACATCAGAGGTTTACAACTCGGGTTTCGTATTAGAATAATTTGAGGAACTTTAAAAAAATGAGCAATTAAGTTAGAGTATCTGGGGTGGGTCCTTGGGCATGAAAGTTTTTAAGGCCTCCCGGTGATTTGAATATGCAGTAGAGTCGAGACTCACTGAGCATCCCTTGGAGGCTGGCTGTGTCATGAAATTTTTATAGATGACATACTCCCGTGGGCACAGGGCACAGCTCAGGTCATTTGCTCGATGGACTGGCCAGGCATGTTGTTATAGGGCAGTTGGGTGTCTAATCTGTGGACACTCAGAATTAGTGGCTTTGGATTACATATGGAGTCAGTCCCTTGTGGCCAAACACTGGTCTGCAAGCGGATGTATTAGGAGCACTTGTGAGCACGTTAGAATAGATTCCTGGCTTCTCATCGCAGAGGTTCTAATTCAGTTGGTCCACATGGGGCCGGGACATCTGTATTTCTTTGATTGTATTCATTTATTTTGCAAATCTGTATTTCTACTAAGCTCCCCAAGCTACTCAGCTTTGGGAACCAAAGATCTCTTTCAGCCTTGGCAACTGCAAAGCAGGACAGCTTGGTGGTTAAGAGGCCGAGAGTTGGACTGTCCATATTACAAAGCCCAACTTTATCACTTACTATGTGAACCATGGGTATATTATTTAACTACTCTATACCCTGGTTTCTCCATCTGTTAGATGGATTTAATTCTGTCTGTACTATAAACTAATTGACTCATGAAGCACACTAAGTGCTATTATAATCTAAGCCACTTAGCATAGTGCCTGGCACATAAAAACCCCCAGTAAGTAGGTATTATTATCATCATTTCGTACATACAAGATATATGACAATTTAGGAGTTTTAGTAGACTCAGCCACGTAACCACCAAAAGATAAGCTATGTTAGACAACATTAATGGAAGCACGTTTCTAAGAAAAGGAGGTGATAGTCCTATTCCACTCTGTGTGGCATTCTGTGTTCAGTTTTTGAAGCTTCCTCCTGGTATAAACTTAACTAGAGCGAGTTCACTAACATGGGCAGGAGGCTCTGGGCTATAGCATAGAAAGATGGAAGAACCTGGGAATCTCTAACTCAGGGTAAAAAGCTGTCTTGTGGAAGGGTGATTAGCTTTGTTCTGTGTGGCTTCAAAGAGTCAACCTGTACACAGAGTGTAGAACCTTGTTATAAATCTGAACTTTAATCAGAGTTGTCAAGAGGCAGAAGCCACCTAAGGTGGTGAGTTTTCCATCCCTGAAAATGATCGAGTATAGACAGGACAACCACCAGGTGGGAATGTTGGGAAGGGAATTTTGCTGAATGACCGCACTAGTTTTCTCCTCATATTCAGGTTTTTAGATCCATTCTGAGGACAACAATAACAAAAATGGGGAAACACTGGGAAGGAAAACAAGCAGAGCAGTTATTTCCACACTAATCTGTTGACTTTGGCTTGCAGGAAGGAGAGGTGGCTGAGGCTGAGAGCACAGGTGAAGTGACAGGCAAAGAGGCTGAAGCTCGTGGTAGAGGTGAAAATGGACCACAAGGCGGAGGTGAAACTCAACTGGAAGGTGAAGGTGAAATTGAAGCAGAAGGAGAAGGTGAACATGAAGGTGAAATCGAAGAAGGAAAATGCGTCAATGAATGTGATCCTGGAGGTGAACTCCAGGCAGAAGATGGTGACATGAAAGCTGATGAGGGTGAAAACGAGGAGCAGGAACTCAATGCTGAACGTAAAAATGAAGCCAAAAGTGATGAGAAAGATAGAGATGCTGAAGGGGGAGGAGAAGGACATGGAAGTGAAGATGAAAAGGAGGAAGAAGAGGAGGAAGAGGAGGAGGAGGAGGACGAAGACGAGGAGGAGGAGGAGGAAGACGAGGAGGCAAATGAGGAGCCTTTGTCTCTGGAGTGGCCTGAGACGAGGAAGAAGCAGGCCATTTACCTGTTCCTCCTGCCCATTGTGTTCCCACTGTGGCTGACAGTGCCCGACGTCCGGAGGCTGGTGAGTTCACCCAGCTGTATCCCAGGGAATCTGTGGAGTCTTTAGGCCTCTCACCCAAGAGGTGAGAGGATGGGGCAAACTGGCGTGGCAGGGCTCAACCACAGAGAGTATCTGGGATGCACCTTGCAGCTCCAGAAGGGACCACGTGCCTGGGGGGGACATACCGGTAGGCTTGGGAGGCCCTAAAATGGGCTTGTTTCTATCACTATAAGTGTGTGAACTAGTACAATTCCTATTACCAGTTTCTTGATTTTAATATGGGAATAATGCCAAGTTCCCCCTTCCCCCAACCAATATGTCCCAGGGATATTCTGAAAACTTAGGGGGAAAGTATTATTTCTAGCCAGCATTCTCATTTATAGGGAAAGCTCTGACTAACAGGCCCTACCCAAAGGCTGTCCATACTCTACCTCGGGTCCAGAGGGGAGGAGAGCAGCAGGAGGTTGTAGATACCACATGGAACGCCTAGGGCAGACTGGCTCTAGGGCAAGCAAATAGTTCTCTTCACAGTTTGGTGACGGCTTAATGCCCTGCTGGCCGGACGCCCAGCGGGCCGCCATCTCCTTCCTTCCCCAGACATCTCAGGGTCCTCACTGGAGATCCAGATCTCAGCTGACCATCTCCAGATCCTCTCCACCACTCCCCCAGCAGATCCTGTCACTGATTCTGGAGCTCTCTCGGAATGGTCAAAGACCTTTAGCCTCTGCAACTTATTTCTCTTCCTTTTTGCAAATAGGAGTATAAGAAGTTTTTTGTTCTTACCTTCCTGGGATCTGTCGTATGGATTGCCATGTTCTCATACCTCATGGTATGGTGGGCTCACCAGGTGAGTGAACTAAATCCTGCATCATCAGGGCCCAAGGGCACTTTTTCTCCCCTTCAGGGTGAAGGTCCAGTACCCAGGCAATGGTGAGGCTCAAGTGAATTTGTAGTTTCTACATTGTTTGTAAAGGCTCAAAAGTTGACCCTTTATTCTGGTGAGTGTAGTATTTTCAAGTGCAGGTCTTTTCTTACAGTCACGCTGCAGCCTGACATAGAAGGCCGTTCGCGGGCTGATCCAGCTAACCATTGCTTATTAGCCTTCTTCCGGGCTTTCTCTGTCACGCATGTCCTGCTCCCCTCCACTTGGTGACGCTGTGCACACTTGTGAGAGCAAAGCTCAGTTTGGCCGTCTGCCAGGCACTTTGTCAGGCTTCCTCCAAGGGCCCGGGATTTTTCTCTTCTACCTGGGATCGCTGGGTACAAGTTTTTCTCTTTCACTAGGCTGGGAGAAGGGTCAGTGTTGCGGTTCTCATACTTTTATCTCTGGCCTCCCACTTAGTTCCTGGCACACAGCAGGTGTCCATGGTTGTTCTGGAAATGGAAACATGAAATGAACAAGTCTTTGGAGGGGCAGTTCTTTTGGGAAGCTGGAGGTGTTGGAGCTGAAATGACAGTGAGAGGTGGTATTAAAGATAGACTTGTAGTCCAATTTAGACAAGAGCTGCGTCATTCCCTGAAGCCTTGAGCAGGGGCCCTGCTCTTTTTCTGTGTGGCCCATCTCTTCCAGGCTAAAGGAGAGTGCTGAGCTCTGTGGAAAGGAGTTGGGCTTGCACGAAATAGCATGTGGTTGGTGTTTTGAAGAGCCTCAGGTTTTCCCCTTGCTGTTGCCGTGCTTTATCACCGTAACTTTTTACCAGGTTGGTGAAACAGTAGGGATTTCTGAAGAGATCATGGGTTTGACGATCCTAGCAGCAGGCACGTCCATTCCTGACCTCATCACCAGTGTGATTGTCGCTCGGAAAGGCCTGGGAGACATGGCTGTGTCAAGCTCTGTGGGCAGTAACATATTTGATATCACCGTGGGGTGAGTGGCAAAGTTGCTTTCGAAGGCATATCAAGTATGACTGGGAAACACTGTGTCGGCTCTGTTCGCTGGTTTTCTGCTTCATTATTTACACGTGGAATAATAGGGCATTTATATTATTAGTGTCTACAAGGCAGCAAAGTGTCCTCCCCTCATTCATCACGGCCAGATGGGATAATTGGACAAAAATGCTGCCTAAAATGTAACCAAGTAGAATTTATAGATGAGTTGAAAAACAAAGTCCATCAAATTCATTACCAAATACAGTCAAATGCTCTGCTCACTGACCTCCATCGAAGTGGGGTTGGAAGGAGCAGTGACTCAGTCTCACCTCCTGATATTTCTGCTCCTTGGCATTTGGGGTCCTGCCAGCTCAGAGGCTCTAAAACATTTTGTCTAAACAAGCAAATGCAGCACCCTCCTGTACCCTCTCCTTCCCCTCCTCCCAACTTGTCAGAACAGAACCTCTGGGCTATTTTCATTTCCGTAGGCATAACCCAGTTTTGGGAAGGGACTTTTGTTTCTTTAATATGAATTTGCGTATGTGTGTGTATGGAGGGGTGGAGCATAGGAGAGCCCTGATCATTGAAGAATTTAAAAACATGTTAGCCTGAGATAGTGCTTATAAAAATTGTGAGATTAAAGAGTCAAACATCAACCCATCTGGGTTTCTCATACGCACATCATGAATTATGGAGAAAAAACCCCACTTGGACCCAGAAAATTTCAGTTTTAATCTAGGGTGTTCTAGTTACTAGCTGTGAGTCTTTGGGCATGTAATTTCCATTTCCCTGAACTCAAGTTTCCTCATCTGTGAAATGGGGCTAATCTTTTCTGTTCTGTGTCATAGGCTTTGTGTGTGTGTGTGTAAAAATAAGTGCTTTTTTAAAATTATAAATTATAAAAGTTTTATAAGTATATAAGTTATATAAATTTATAAATTATGTTTTATTATAAAATACATTAGAAAATGTAAATGTTATAAATTATATCTATTTATATAAATTATAAAACACTATAAATTATAAAAGTGTTTACATATATGTGGGGTTATTATATGTGTATAGGATTATTATATTATAAATTAAGAATATTCACTTTTTTCTCTTCTATCTTGCAGCCTGCCTGCCCCTTGGTTGCTCTTCTCTCTCATCAATGGATTACAGCCTGTTCCAGTCAGCAGCAATGGCTTGTTTTGTGCAATTGTTTTGCTTTTTCTCATGCTCTTGTTTGTGATCTCTTCAATTGCCTCATGCAAATGGAGAATGAACAAGATCCTGGGCTTTACAATGTTCCTCCTTTACTTTGTATTCCTGATAATCAGCGTGATGTTAGAAGATCGAATCATTTCCTGTCCCATATCTGTCTGAGTCAGAGTCACTGTTGCTCACAATGGACATGGATCAGAAAAACCATGCCAGAAGCTACTGTACTTCTTGTTACATTAATGAAAGAATGAACATGGTCCAGGAGAGTGACCGGAGTGGCCAAGAGCCTCTGATGGGAATGTCATCTGAACATTATCCTTGGAAGCATCTGCAGCTCATTGTGGATTAAGAATCTCCCCTCTAGAGGGATGGAGCTCCTGCCCCTCACTGCTGTCAGCAGCTATCATGTGGAGGCCCGTAGAAGGACCTCTGGAGCCAGAGGGTTTTCTGAATGAGAGATAACTTGGGGGTAAGGGCTGGGACAGTCACAATAGCAGTAAGGCAAGCCCCCATGCACACAGTCCCTGATCATTCCTGAAGGGCTGCTGATCCGAAGATGCAGATGTGGTCTATACTGCATCCCCGGGCTTCTGGCCCAAGCACACGCTGCAATTTGCTGTCCTCTCTTTTTCTGTTTAAAATGTGGCTTGTTTTTTAAATCAGATTTGTAAATATTACAGGTCCAATTATTGGTGGGTTTAAGGAACTAAGACTATAGAAAAAAATGTATAACAGGAATCAATTACATTATACATCATAGTCCAGTAAAATGTATACCAGTATTTTATAGCTTAAAAGGACTGCCTTAGCTCTTACAGCTGCATTTCTCAAAACTGCAATTAAAGTAAGTAGCCCAAGAAATTAAAATTTATACATCACCCTTGAATTGGAAGTGGGAATATTAGGGAAGGAAAACTACTCTAAGGGCTATTTAAACATATGTACTTACTAGAAAATCCAAGTTAGTATTGTCTCCGGCAAGTGGTCACCTTGAGGGATTAGACAGTCATACAAAAGCAGTCCTGGCTTTGCTCCTCCAGCATATTCTCGCCTAACAGTGACAGCAGCTACTAGTGAGTAAGAAAAGGAGTAATTCTAAAGAGAGCCCAAAATCAGTAGAGCCAAGTCTGGTTTATAAAGTAAGAGATCCTGTGGGGTAATGCTATTTTTGTGTGTCACCCTAGATAGGATTATAAAGCAAGATGATTGATTTCCTGTGTGGCTTATAAGTGGATCTCCAGGCAGTTACAAAGGAGAAGTTCCAAAAATGTTTAACATGATGACAACATGGTGAGATAGAGAGTATTACTACTTCTGGTAGTTAAAGGACTTTTGTGTTTGTACAAATTGTGTCACTATTTAAACATTGCATGTGGAATTTGAAGTGCTTGCATATTAAAAACCACTGCTTGCTGCTTTTACTAGCATTGACTTAAGGGACACACTAGAAATGAAACAGTTCTGTGTCCCTAGCTTCAGAGCAGAAGGAGCTCAGGTGACTATAGATTATGATGGTAAATACGGCTTTAATTATGAACATGAGAGGATTCATTGAAGATTAGAAGATAGCAGGACAGATGTGATTAAAAAAAAATCAAACCTTTTGGTGTTCAAAATACTTCAGTCCATAATCCATCTTTTAAGATGGACTGATTAATTAATTAATTGCCTCCCTGTCCCAGGATTCACATTCTTTGGAAATGACTTTTATTAAATTTCAATAAATTGTGAGTCCTAATGGTATTTTATTCTGCAAACATGGATGAGTTAATCTATATCTTTAGGTCATTTAGTTGGAATGCTTGAGAAGATAATGATGGAAACATAGTCATTCCATATTCTTAGTTATCCTCATTGGTGCTGTTGCATTGCCCGCTCTCCATATGGCATGGCCCAAGGACAGGAGGACAGAACGAGTCAGAAGGGTGATTCCAATGCCAAACTGTGCACATCTGCAGCCAATTCCAGCCAACCTCAGGGACATCACCTGAGAGCCTGGGTTCCAATATTTTTCCCCAGAATGGCTGAGGAGTACTGGACAGTGAAACATTTTATGAGAAAGTGCTGGACAGATATTTCGTGATTAAAGTCAACTCTATTGATCTAACATCCCATTCATGATCAGTTTGCTGGATGTCTGGCATTTCTCTGCTTGGAGAGGAAGGTCTGATCACACCACACTATGACAAAAAGGGTCTAGTGAAATGAAAGCTGGGTGTTGATGGATGTATAAGAAGTCACTGGAGTGGGAGGGAGGAAGGAGACTTCAGGGAGGTGGAAAACTTAAACAATTTTTAAAAGATCAATTTGTTCTGCTTGGAAATGAAATTTTTTGTTATATGTTTATAAATCTATAATTTATTAAAATTATACTGTTTAGGGTGAAGGATCATCTTAAAATGTCAAGATAATGGTGAGATGGTCCTCTCATGTGATAGGCAAAGTGACCTATCTAGTCACATGGGACAAATCCCAGGTCACTCATTCAGCCTTAGGATGCAAGAACTGTCCCACTGGAGCTTCTCAGCTGGAGGACAGTGGCTACCCAGATGATGGTTTCATCCCTCTGGAGGTTGCATTTCCTTGGTGACCCTGGTGATAGATTTGGGCCCAATTTCTTAAAAATGTGAGCCTCTCCCTGACTTAATGGGTTAAAGTTCTACACAGTATTAAAAGAAAAAAAAAATACCATCCATATTTTTGAAAAATGGTGTTCTCTTTAAATGTTTACATAGTAAAATGGTTGCTTCCATAAATCGATCTAAAAATGCTTTTATCAAATTTACAGGCTTGGCCTTTTATGCCACTGTTTATATTTTAATTATCACTTATTTAAAGATTGAGAACCAAAGAGGGTGGGAACCGGAATTTAGTATTTACGGCACAGCCCGGTAGGTACATTTGAAGAACTGGCTGGCCTTCCTTGCCAAAGAGTACCTTTGGGGTCTGATTCCTTTTTTGTGGGAGCCCCCCACTCCACCCCAGGTGCCACTTGCAATGCGTTTGGGGACTGGTCACCAAGGAAGATACAAAGAGAGGTCGTGATCAGAGCTGTCTCTGCCAGTGCAGAGAGTAGGGGTCACTAGAGCCCAGTGGCACACCCTGGTCTAAGGCTGCCTTCATAGCCAAAGGCATGCTTTGGGTCTTCAGGCCCCTCACTGTGACGAGCACGGAAAACCTGAAGAATTTCATTTATAGGAAAGCCTGTCAGTTGCTCCAGTGGGTTCGTCACAGCACAATGTTTGAAAAAAAAAAAAAAAAATCTATACAGACAAAAGGAGGGAGCCACGCAAACGAGAGCAACCCGGGAAAGGCCGCCGAGACTTCATCAGTAGAACCTGGCAGCATCTTGGAGGATAAGCACAAGCACAGACTTTTTGTGTAAGAGACAAATTCCTATATTAATTTGTGAACAGCTGATTTTTATAAACAAAAATAATTCAGCCAGCAAATGTACTTGCTTTGAGGCCAGAGGAAGAGGCCAGTATAAAGGGATAAGAAGAATAAGTCTGAGAGTATTAAAGTAAACTGACTGGTGTGCTGCTGTCAACGAATGCAATTCTGAAAGAAAACTTAGTCAGATATCCAAACAGGAAGGGCAGAGCAGGTTAACTCTAGCAGAGGAGGGGGCCCAGGGCTCTCTGAAAGAAGCAGCCTGCCCTTTCCTTTGCTGGTCTGGAATAAAGTGCCTAACGGCAGCTTTCAAGTTCTAGTGGGAGAAATAAAAATAAAACTGGGCCATCTGACATTATCATACACACAGGTCTCTTCTAACCGTGTACTTAAAATGTATTTAGAAATAAAACATCACAGCCTTCTCTGTACACCAGGTCAACACTTGCTAGTTGCACTGAAGTATTAGAGTAGTTACCAGCGTAAAGTACAGTAAGTATGTATCACATAAAATGCTGAACCAACATTTTCTGGGGCCATTTCTCTATATACAAAAATGTAAAAACATATTAGAAAAACTTAGAATCAAATAAGCTGGTAGTGTTAGAGTTTTAAAGCATTCCCTCCCTCCCCACCATCGTCCAAAAGAGAAATCAGGGGAAAAAAAGACAAAAATCAGAGTATGAGCAGGCTGTATAATTCCTTACCTGGCAGTAGGAAGAAAAAGTTGAATATCAAAATTAGATACAAAATACAAATGTATGACATTCAAAACACCATGGGAGGAAGTAGTAAACAAGTTATACCAGGACACAGCATGGTTTATTTTCCACTATTAAACATATAAACAAAACTAAGAGTAAGAAAACAAGAGACAGATAATGTAGCAAAAATGTATTTCTCTCCAACATGATTGGCCATGATTCTTCAAAATGTATCCTCAACAGAGACAAAATGGAAGAAAAGTTTATATAGAGTTATTTTAAAGGATGATCTAGATTTTAGTTTTCTTTCGAGCAGGGTTTACCACTTTCTATTCATGTTTTAGGTTTTATTTTTAAAGACTAAATTTCTACAAATAATGTTTCCTGGGGATTAAAAGTAGAAATAAAACCCAACCAAAAGCAAAAACAAAACTTTGTGGGGGTGGGCGGGGCGGGGGGGGGGCAGGTAAAAATTATACTCACTTTTCCATCTAAGTTTGAACCAGAAAGGATGGGCTTTACCTCACTTTTTTGGGTCAGCGATTTGAAATCCATCAACTATAATTTTTACGTATAGTTTGTGTTAAAGAAAAGTTAAACAACTTCCATGAACAGTAAAAGCGGTTCTTATAAGGGAAAGTAAAACATGCATCAAAAAACCAGAATAGAACCCCAGAACCCTATTTGGAGGGATGTTTGTTGCCAATGCCCAAAGCCTCACTTACTAAACATTTCTCTCGTTTGACAATTTTCAAGTGATTTAGGGAACAGAAGACTCCGGCAGAATGTGAAACCTGGATATGAATAGTAAAGTAGAAGACTGGAGTTGTATTTACAAAGGAAAGGCATATATATGTGCATAGCACCAGATTTTTCAAGTAAGCAAGTTCAGCATCAAACTAATCCGAATCAAAATTTCACATTTGTAAACTCTATTACTTCCCCAGTCGAAAGCTGTGAAATGTGTCAGCTTGATGCTATTCACTAATGGTGTGAATGCAAAAGGTAGTTTTTCTGCAGCTAAATTGATTCGAAGTCTCAGATATCCCCAGTACAAGTGTGCTGGACTCTACTGGCTTTCCAGACCAAATTTGGAAACATCCATTTTTTCTTCTTTGAAAGCGTCTAGAGAATTCCTTCATTCA